GAAGCGCGACATCGCGTGGTGGTCCGCGTTTGCGCTGGAGTGGAACGGGATCCGTTTCATCTCCCCGCAGTGCGCCACCGTCCATGTCTACACGGACGCCAGCGGCACGAAGGGGCTCGGGGGCCACTTCGAGTCGTTTTGGTCCTCCGTTCGTTGCGCACGTCGCCACCGCACTCACCACATCCAGGTCAAAAAAAATACTGGCCGTCGTCCACGCAATTCTCTGCTGGGGCGAGCGGCTTTCGGGCCTGCACGTCGTCTTCCATGTCGACAACGAGGCTGTTCACAACGGCATCTTCAATTTTTCCATCAGGTCTACGCCCACGATGGAGCTCCTCCGACAGTTTTTAGCCCTCGCATGCCGGCTTGAACTTTTTCTTCTGTCTGGTTATCTTCGAAAGAAAACGCGATCGCTGACGCTGCCTCCCGTTTTTCCCTTACACGCATGTTCGACCTCGCACCGTACCTCGACCGACAGCCATCCTTGAAATGCCTCCGGATTGGTGGTACGAATAGTACCCCATGTGGCCCAAGACCGTCTCATTTTACCTATGGCATGGGCTCGCATCAACCACTCGCCGTACCTACTCCACGGGACAGTGGTCCTTCATTAACTTCACCAGGCTCTACAACCTGTGCAACGCCGACGGCGCAGTCCTCCCCGCGACACAACCCGCTGTCATGTCTTGGGTCGCCAGCCACGGAGGCAAGGTGCAACCAAAGACCATCAAAGCGTACCTCTCCGCTGTTCGCTCGCTCCACGTCGACGCTGACCTCCCCTTTTCCATTTGCGAGTCCCCGATCGTCCAGCGCCTCATTCGCGGCATCAAGCGCTTTCACGGCGAGAAGGACCGGAAACCGGTACAGCCCATCACCCGCCCCGTCCTTTTCGCCCTCCTCGCGCAACTGCAACCCGGTGTCATCCCCGGACACACCGCCCTCTACACTGCGTACTGCTTCGGTTACGCAGGCCTCCTTCGGTCCGGCGAGATCACCGTCAGATCAGGTAAAGACGCCAGTCTTAACCTCACCCGCGACAGTGTCCAGTTCTACCCCGACTTCGACAACTGCACGCACGTCGGTCTTACCCTCCCCGGTTCGAAAAGCGACCCCTTTCGCAAGGGAATCACTATTTCCATGGCCGCGGCGCCAGGCCATCCATCATGCCCCGTCGCCGCCGCCGCCAAGTGGCTTTTCGCCGAGCTCCTACGCGCCGGCAACAGCCCACTCTTCGAAGGGGTGGACGGGAAGCTCCTCCACTACAAGGACTTTGTTGCGGGCATGCGCACTGCCCCGGCCGCCGCCGGTCTGAACCCCGCAGGCTTCGCCGGCCACAGCCTTCGTCGTGGAGCAGCCATCGGGGAGAAGCACAACGCCACCTCGGGCCAGGTCACCCTCGCTTGGATCCTCGCACAAGGACCCGAGTTTGTCGTGATTCCCGGCACCAAGAAGATCAAGGTGCGTTCCTTCTTCGAACTCCGTTACTCCTCGCTGCATGCTCATCCTGGCGTGCGCAGTACTTGCAAGAGAACATGGGCGCCTCGAAGATCAAGCTCAGCCCCGAGGAGATCGCAGCCGTGCGCCAGATTGCGGAAGAGAGCGACGTCCCCGGCGGCAGGTACGAGGCTTCCGGGATGGCGGGCGTGTTGATCGACAGCCCTGAGTTGCCCAAGTAGAGGAGGCGAGGTATCGGAGAAATAAATGGGTTGTATTCTCGGTTTTGTAGTCAGTCAGGAATGTGCATGAAATTTCGGTGCAGTCGAGTTTGCCAGCGCTATTTCCGCATCTTGCTTCAATTAATGGCTCCGTCTTGCGCTGTATAGAAACATATGCCGCGATGGTGATAATTCGGATCCGGCTGTTCGTGCTGTCGTCGGCGTGGACAATCGGCCGCCTCGAATGAGGGGTTCAAAACGAAATACTCCAGCGGAGGACGGGGTTCAAGTGGATGCGAAGCAATTACTTTGGGAAGGGACAAGTGAGAGGTGAAGAAGATAAATGCGATGCTTAACGCGAAGATGCTTCAAGCTGCAAAATCCAACAGACCTCGAGCTCCAGTTGAACCGAGAGGTGAACGTCCGCATTATAATACACAGTCTAAAAAACAATGCATTTCCCCTTTCTCTTTCCCTTCCGCTGCGAACTTTCCTGCGGGGCGGTAGCATCTGGTCGATTCTGCCGCAACAGACGGACGAGATCCGAAAAAGCGCGCTCTACATTCATCCCCGTTTTCGCAGACACCTCCAGGAATGGGCATCCAAACTGGCGGGCTAGGGCTGCGCCCTCCTCCGTTGAAACCGCGCGGTCCGAGGCACCGAAATCGCATTTGTTGCCGAGGAGCATGAACGGAGTGTTTTCCCCCCTTATGCGTTGTAACCATTGCCAGAGTTCCTCCAGCCGGCTAAAGCTGGAACGTGAGGTGACCGAGTACACCAGGAAGAAGCCTTGGCCTCTGCTGATCCCAGGTAGGTTGTATTACTGTGGGGTCATTTGGAAATGGAATTGAGTACGAACCGGATGAACTGCTCTAGGAGGTGTGAGCCGCGTCGAAACAATACTGATTCGAACGGAACATACCTCGAAGGGAAGCATCTGTGATGTCCTCGCCGGCCTGGTCCAGCACATCGACAAAGCAGACAGCGTCATCGACTACAAGTTGTTTGCGGTAGCAGGCGTCGAGGGTCGAATTGTAGCCCTGCGAAGACATTAGTTGTGCAGGGGTGCAGGGTAACCCGAAAACGAGCATCTCAATGCGTGTGCCAGATCAAAGGCATGGCGCGAATCTTGGCTGGCTATTACTCACCGTAACGAAGAAGTCAAATGCGAACTGGGGAGCATAGATTATAACTTGTCCTAAGGGTAGTTTGGGAGCATGCACTAGCTTACCTGGACAGCCAACGCCGTTCTACCGACCCCGTCCACACCAATGAGGATGGTATGCCATTCGTCCATCTTATATGGTCCGCTTGAACCAGTGGTGGTGTTCGTGGAACAAGGAACGAGTTGTACCCAGTGACAGTGCAGCCCACAGAAAGCTAAGCTGTGTGTGTCAACCGGACGCATGCAGCCTCCATGCAGTGTGATGCGGGATCGGGATCTATGTCAATAACACATATCCTCCGCGCTTACATGTCATATGTTGTCTCAGATTATTGTTCTACCAAGAGAATCTCGTTGTAAACTGTTCTCTCCAGCAGAATCCTGATTCCCACCTCGGAAGGCAAAAATTAACCACGACTCGTTTCAACAGTAGTGGCAGTCACTGTGGCCCATTTAATGCAACATTGAGTGTCAGACTGGGCGGACAACACCTTCTCCCCTAGCGCTCTAGTCTCGGACCCTACTCTCATGAGAGTATGGTCCGAGACTACTAGCGCTCAAAAGTTCCGAGGAACCATCAGTCCGCTTCGATTCCACACTTTCAGCGCCCAAAGTCAATATGGGTCATCGTTACAGACATGCACACGGAGTCCGCGAGTCTGAAACTCCCGATGCAGGGTCCGATGGGAAATAGATGCGCGGCTACAGAACGATACATTTCTTGTTTCCCGTCCGCTCCGAACTTTCCTGCGGGGCAGTAGCCTCTGGTGTATTCTGCCGCAACAGACGGACGAGATCCGAAAAGGCGCGCTCTACATTTATCCCGGTTTTCGCAGAGACCTCGAGGAATGGGCACCCAAACTGGCGAGCGAGGGCTGCGCCTTCTTCCGTCGGGACAGCGCGGCCCAAGGCACCCCAGTCGCATTTAGTGGCGAGGAGAATGAGAAGGGCGGTTTCCGATTTGATGCGTAATACCCACTTCCAGAAATAGTCCACCACTTCGAAGCTGTCACGTGAGGCGACTGAGTACATCAGGAAGAAGCCTTGACCCTTACTGAAGGCGACATTCATTTTTTCGCGCTGTTATTCGAATTGGGCACGGACCGGATGTATCGGTCTACCGGACGTGGGTAGTATGTGGGTACGGCGGTGGAATAATGGCATTGATTTGGACATACCTATAAGTCGGCTGTCCATCCCCTCGTCGGACCCGGACCCATCCAATACCTCGATAAAGCACGGGGCGCTGTCGACTGCCCATTGTTTGTGGTACAGTTCGATGGTCGGGTCGTAAATCTGCCTGGACATTAGCGGTGGTTTAGTGCGAACTTGGGTTTCGATGTTGGCACCTCTGTGGAAGGACGCGGCTCAAGACATGTGCAACGTATTGGCGGGCTACTCACCGACGAAGCGATTGTGCGTGAACTGGGTAGTAGTGTTAGGTTTCACGAATATCGAGCGTACGAGCTTCAAGTTACCCGATCAGCTAACGCGGTTTTACCGGCCCCGTCCTGACCGAGGAGGGTGATAGAGAATTGGTCCATTGTAGTGGTAGGTAAGTGACTTGAGGAAATTGGTACGTCATGATGTTCGGGAAACAATGATGCGGAATCGGGGCAGTGCCAGTGCAAACATCTTTCCTCCCATCTGCGACATGAGCCGCGCGTCTCCTTGACTTGCGGAGGTTCGCTCTAGCAGCAGTGTAGCGTTTTGAAGCCTCCGCGCAATCTTCTGACAACAATTACAAGGAAGTTATTGGGATTCAACCAAACACCCAACCTACAGTAGCCTGTACTAGGTTCAACCCCCGCGTGATGAAGGTTGAAAACCTCGATGAATCCACGCCGGAATAACCATCATGTGCTTTGCCATGCGTATTAACTGGTTTCGGCGGAATTCCTGTGTTTTCTGTTGAGGTGGTAGCAGGCATGATTTTCTACGACAAACTCAAAGAGGTTGCCATCTTTGCGTTCATAAAGAACCCCAGCTCAGATGCCTACCTATAGGCATAGTGATGGATTCACCATCCATACTCGGGGCAATTTGCGGTTTTCAAGCGGAAAATCCCTCCCACCCTTGTCATATTCTCCTCCTCTATGAATGCCATTGAACACCCACCCAGACCCTGACACAGAAAAACAAACAAATCGTAAACAAGTTTCCTCAACTTTCTCCATCGCGGCCTGGTAGCATAGAGGAAATGCATCCATGATTTCTGTCTTTTCCTTAGCGCTTTAATGGAGGATTCCTGTTCGATTCGGGACTGGGCCATTCCCACTTTGATTTTTCCCAGTGTTTCGAAAGTCCAACTAAAACCCGCCCACAAACTCGTCTTATTCCTCCCATTGGCATCGTGGCATATCGGCTGTGCATCCATTCTTAATGACACATACGTCCATTGGTTTAAGTGGAATACTTACCCCGTTCGACTAGGGGCCAGGCCATTCCCCAATTTCGAAGTTTTTCTCTCTTATTTCCAGTTTCAGCTTTCAACTTCGTTCCCAAACTCAACGTCTCCTTTGCACCCTCATCGGCCTCGCCGTATGACGGTCATGCATCCACTCTTCATGTAAAACTTGTAGTAGCTGTAGGCGGAATACCCCGTTCGACTCGGGGCCAGGCCATGCGGTAGACCATTCCCAGTATTTTCCCCTTCTAATCTCTCTAATTCGCCCCCAAGAAGAACCCACCACTCCGTCCGACACACAACGGTTATCGTCATTCAAGAATCTGGATCCCAGCTCCATCCATTCGTAGCAGTCATTACGTCGTGGTATAAAAATCTACTTACTTTTCCCTCGTTCCCTCCCCGCATTCCTTGTTTCCTTCCATCACCCCGTCAATGCGTCCCTACCCTTCACCACATAGACATAAAAAATCCTCCCCAATTAGTAGTCATCCTCGTCCATGTACACAAAACAAAAAGGAACTAGTAAAAGTAAAAGTAAATGCGGAATGTGGAATGTGAAATGCGTATAGTGTGGGATGATGCGGGATGGATGGATAGATAGATAGATAGATAGATCGCTGGGTGGATGGTCGAGTGGTCAATGAGATAGTAGTCGAGGGGGAGGGAAGAGGAAGTCTACGGCTCCGCGGGCGAGTCGGCCGGTGGTCGGATGTGGTGGCGTGGGCGAAAAATGAGACCGGGTGAAAAACGAGTCGAGAGGCGAGGGCGAGGGCGGTCAAAATAAAGCAAGGCAGCGACAACTACGCAGCGCCCACCGCCCACCCCCACACGCGGAAGAACAGCATCAGCGCGCCGCCCGAGATGATCGGCAGCGTCAGGTTGTCGTCCAGCCCGCCGAGGTCTGCGTCGGGGTCGAATGTCAGCGCTAGTCGGGATACGGAGGAGAGAGGAAGGAGGAAGAAGGAGCGGGGGAAGATGAGAACGCGAAGGAAGATTCTTCCCCACAATGGGCGGCGCCCTTCGAGAGTCTATCCCGGCACTGCACGTCATTCCAGCAATGCGGAGGCAAGAAGGCAAGAAGGCAAGATTCTGCCCCGCCACACGACGGCATCCCGCGAAACGGCAGGCAGTACCTCGACGTCGTCCCAGCAGAAGGGCCGCAAGAAGGGAAGGGCCGCGCGCGCCGTCCCCGATGGCCTTCGGACCCCGCCCACCAAGGCCGAGAGCTGACCCCCGCCCCAAACAACGCCAAACACCCCGCCCAAAACAATCAATAAAGGAACTCACCAAGCGCCTCCGCAACCCCGCTCACAACACCCGCAACAACAACGAGCGCCACCAGCCCCGCCAGCCCCCCGACCCCGAATCGCTCCGGCGTCGTCTGCGCGCCGCCTCTTCCTCCACTAATTCCACTTGTATTCCCGTGTGCTTTCACATCGCCAGGGACAAGGGAGGCGGGAACAGGGGAAGAGACGCCCCCGATGACCCCCTCGGGCACCCACCGCCGCAGCCACGCGCCGCCGTCGCTGCGGAGGTACTGCCCCGCGAGCGAGTACTGCGAGTGTACGCCGGCGTCGGCGCCGGAGGAACCTGGGAAGGAAGGATGGGTCAGCGCCGGTGCGGGAACGAGAAGATGACGAGGGAAATAGAAAGGGCAATGAGAAAGCGAAGGCGAAGTAGGTGCTGAGAGGCGAGGAACGCCCATAAGGGAAAGAGGAGGGCGCTGGCGAAACGGGCAGGAGCGGAGACGGGAAGCGGGTCGGTGTCGAGACGGAGGAGGCGAGGGGTGAAAGGAAGGAGGGGAAAGGGGGGTGTGACGAGGTGAAGTGACCTAAATAGGCGCGAGGCGAAGTAGAAGAGCGCCAACGGCGAAGATGAAAGAGGACGGAGGGAAGGAGGCGAGCGGCAGGGAAGGAGGAACGGAAGGAGCGGAAATAGGCGAGCAGCAAGGAGCAAGGTAAGGAAGGGATCGTAGAGTCCGGGCAAAACGGGGAGGAGCGTAGGAACGCGGTCGACTAGGAGCGGGTGGGGGAGTGGGAAAGAAGGGTGGGCAACAGGGTGAGCGGTGCATGTAGGCGGGAAGGAAGGGTGGATGGAAGTGGATAACAAGTCAAGGAACAGCAATGGCGGGGATGGAGGACATGTAAAAGTGAAAGAACGAGCGAGAGGCACGGATAGTCGCAGCTTCCATACCCCCCCCCCTAAAACCCTCCCCTCAAAAAGTCAAGAAAAAATACTCACCCTCCTCAACAGCCCGCATCTCCGCCACCCCGCCCAGGCCCCTTAGCCCCGCGATCCCGCCCCAGAACACAAGCGCCACCAGCGCGCCGGCCGCACACGCCGCGACGAACCCCGCCGTGCTCTTGCGCGGGGCGAACGGGAGGCGCAGGCGCCGCGCTTGCTTGGGGCCCTTGGGGTTCTCTTTCACGACGCCGTTCGCGACGCCATTCCCCGCACTCTTGATGCTCTTGGAGGAAGCGGAAGACACCGCGGAAGGCGCAGCCAACAGGAACCCCGGCACATACACCCAGCCGGGCAGCCACGCGAGCGATACGCTCGCGGGCAGCGGCGGAGTGCGCGGGCCGTACGCGCGCCCGATTGTCGAGGCGGCGGTGTCCGCCCAGGAGAGGCTGCGAAGAAGCTTAGTCAGCAATGATGTGGGAAGCATACAAGGCAATCCGGATGGGGAGGAGTGGGAAAGAGGTGGGGGATGAGGAGCCGAGAGGGTGGAGTAAAAGGAGCGGGGCGGACGCGGCAAGAACGGAATGCTCGCCCTCAGCCAGCCAAATAATAAAAATAAAAATAAATAAAGGGAAATAAGTCAGTCGCCCGCGGTACACCAAGATCGACGCAGGCTCCGGAGCTCGCGCGAGAGCGAGGAAAGGATGCACCCGCGACTTGGAATACCCCCACCCGAAGGCGAATCCGAATTCCAAGCACCCCCAAATTCAAATCCGAATTCAAAACGCCCCGGGACCGAAGCGCTGTGGATTCCCCCGACGCCCCGACATACTGTACGTGAAAGGGACGCCGTGCGCCGGACGCAGATGGCCCCCGCCCCGCTACAGAACCGTCGCCCAGCAGGACCCCAGGCGCGCCCTGGCCGACACCAACGACAAGGCATCTTTCCCCACAGATCGCCAGCAAGCGCCATAACAGGCCGGACGAGGACCACACAAGGCCATGCCCAGACACGAGCTCCGGCACAGACAGACCCCACTCCGGCACCCCGGCGCCCCGGCAATGACGGATACGTATACGAGGACGACAACACCCGAGGGGCGCAGACGAGGGACGAAGCCGATACCCCCCCCCCCCCCCCCCCCACATGCCCCACCTTCGGACAGAAGCGACGCGTACACGCGATAAGGACCACAACACGCACGATAGGCCCAGTCCCCGCGCCCGCGCACCACAAACCACTCCGAGCGGGGGAACGCGGGCATGCACAAGCCCGCGAAGGAGAAAAGAAAGGAAGCCCAATATGCCCCGGCAACAGCACAGAAAAGCGGCGAGGCGGCGCCGACGATCGCGCCGATCCATCGCGCGGGGACAGCTCGGGATTGACACCAGCAGGCATCGCCAGCGCCCCGACCCGCGATAAGAACCCCGAATACACGACGAAGACGTCGCGCAAGGACGGGCATTGGACCGACACAAAGACGCGGCGCGGCGCACAAAGAATCACGCCTGAGTACGCCCCGCGACTGAGAAAGACCCAGAGCACGGCCTCGACTCCTGCAAGCTACGATCGCGATGACGATTGTAGCGCGGGGCGCAAACCGAACACGCGTCCCGGTATTGATACCGCCCACACGGGCCCAGGAGACGATAACGCCCACCACGCCCACGCCCACGCCCTCGGACGGAACGCGCGTCCGAGGCCGCCCGCGCCCGCTACGCAGCCAATAACGCCCACCGCGCTCCGACCACGTCCTCGGACGGAAACCGATAAGGACGACCACACCCGCACCCGCGTGCCAGAAAAAAAAAGCCCCCAAAGATGAGTCCGTGTGGGGGATGCTGCACAAGCCCAAGAAAGAAAAAACTATAAAACGAAAAAAGAGAAAAAAGCAATAAGAAGCTCCCCGACCCAGAGGCGCAGGGAGTGGCACAGAGAAGCGGCGAGGATGCGAGGCGAGGTACACGACCCGCCGACGATCGTACCGACGATCGCGCCCGATCGCGCGAGCAGATCGGTGCTGAGTGGCACGCGACCCACTAGCCTCGAATTCGTCTCTCGAAGGCGCTCGCACCCTGGACGAATACGAACAGGACATGCGGCACGAGCGCGCGCGGAACAACTTCAACAAGTCCCTTGTGTACCACAGAGCAGCCGCAGCAGGAGGGGCATAGATAGGGGGTGCGGAAGTGAAAAAGGGAACGCGGAACGCAGAAAAAGGAGGGCGAGGCACGCGAGGGCCTGCGTATCTCGGGGTGGAGAGGAAGGGGGAAGGGAGGCGAGACACGAATGGGATGAAGGGGGCGGAGTACAAGGAAGTCGGTTCAGGAGGAAAGGGGAATAAGAAGAACAGAGAGCAGTAGACGCACATGAGGATTGCGACAGTCGCGACGTCGATGGGGTAGAACGTGAGGGCGAAGTTGACGCCGAGGATGTACCACAGCGTGCCGTTCGTTCCGTGCTGCGAAAAAAAAAAAAAAATCAGTGTCGGGGTAGCAAGGAGACAGAAACGTAAAACGTAAATAGAAGGGCAAGAAAAGGAACCCTAAGGAAAGGAAACCAAAGCAGGCAAACGAAGTACTCACTCTCTCGCTCTCGCGCATCAAAAAGCCGACCGCACGCTCATACACACGCTCGACCGCGGGGACGCGCAGCCGCACAAAATCCGTTGGCGCGAGC